ACTTAAGCCTTGGACCTCTCTTGACCTTTGATTGAACTGGCTATTCAACAGCTCTAATTGCTTTATTCAATTTTCTGGCCATTTTTAACAAAACAAGCGTTGAAAATGGCCACAAATTCCATGGGCTGGCCAAACAAAAAACCAGGCAGGGGAAAAAAACAACAAAAATTGCAATAAATTAATTTAATGGTAACGAAAACAAGCGGTCGCACAAAACCAGAAACCCAACCAACAACAAATATCAACTGTCAACAACAATACCAGCAGAAGCTGGTCTTTAATTGCCTACAAAAGCCAGAGGGACAAAGTTTCAGGCCGTCTGTTTCAATTTTCACAGTCACTGTCTAGTTAAATATTACAAAAAAAGACTAAAAATGCCATTGATGTTCGTTCGTTCAACTTGATAGAGTTGTCCTGACACGCCCTGGATGCCAACCAAGATGCCAACCAAGACGACCTAAAGGGTTAGTATTTGTGTTTATATTGGTTTCTGTTTCGGTTTCTATTTATTTTATAGTTTCTACAGCATTTCTCATATGCCCATTTGAAATTCGAACCCTTGCCTAGCGCCATATGCAGGCAAAATATTGAAACGGAATGGGTTTTCCTTTCCTAGCCTGGCACGCGAAAGGAAGTCGACTCGAAATGTAATAAAATTGCTTTTCCTATCGGTTTTTGGAATAATTACCATTTTCCACCGCCTGCCAGCAGCTGTCGGAAAGCGGGGGAGTGGGAGTGGAAGCCCCTAAACCCATATGGTGGTAGATGGTCCTCACTTAGGTATGATTTTGTGGGTCTATATTGTTCTATAACTTTAAAGTTTGCAGTGTGAACTTAAGAGCCACCACCCTCTATAACTAACATGAGTCATGTCCTCCCACTTACTTGCCATATTACATCGATAGTGCTTTCCCCCCCTTTATTACAATATTATATTTTCGAAATTTTATGTTCGGCAGTTGCATTTCATTTTCGAAAGTGCACCACCACCACCACCCACAGCTGGTATGGCAGACAAGGCAATTAGCTGGGATCTGCCCTTCAAAATAGGGAGAGTAGTGTTACATGGCGCACTTTTTATTGTCTTGCCAGTCAAGCCAGACCCTGTCTATAAGTGCATATATGTATATAGCCACCAAGTACGAACTATATATATATCTGTGCGTATTCCTAAAGTCATGCAGTTGGAGTTGGGAAGAGGGTGCCCGGCTCTTTGGGAATTCGAAGGTAAGGTGCTGTGTCCGGAGGCTATTAAATTAATTATGCCGCTTTAATGGCCTTCTGTTGGCTTTTTTCTATTTCATAGATTTATGAAATGAGGAGACCCTGCCAGATAGGCCCCTAGTACCAAACCTAGTACCTCTTTTAATTGTTTTTATTATGAAGTAACCTATGAGGCAGCCTAGGCCTTATTATCGCAGTAATTCGCTGGAAAAAGACCTCTTCTGATGGTTCTCTACTTGTTCCGGGTAATCAAATAATTGCTGATATTTACACGTTTGTTAATTGTCTATCTCGACTGCATTTGCTGGACGGATCGTGCACTATCGAATGAGGCGAAAACTGCTCTGTTTACAGACTCGTATAATTCGTGTTTGTGGCGCACTTAGGCAGTCTCTCTCATAAGTGCCATAATCGATGCAATCTCTATTGATGGGAAAGTCCATATTGCGCAGCATCTGTCCGAAGGCAAATCGACCTCCATTCGATGTGAATTGCTTTTTGTTTTGCTGCCAGTTTTGGCGGGCCAGTAGGAAAAATGGCCAAGTTCACACCCCAGATGTAACTCAAAACTGGAAAAAACAATCAAATTACTGCACACGAGAACTGCCAGGAGAAACTATTGGATTTCCCTTCAAAAGTTGCTGACTCGAGCCAACATTATATCACAAATTTTCCAAAAAAAAATCACTCGCCTCGAATTCAAAGTCTGGCAAGGCAAGGGTTTCATATTGGCCTTATTTGGGTGTTTTGGGTTTAATTACCAGTCTGGGAAACAGGGCCAACATATGGCCTTCTTAGGTTTCAGTTTCAAAGCTATAGAATAGATCTAAGCCCTCACTTTAAGTTGAAACTTTAATAAATACTAATAACTTTAGTGTTTAGTCTGCACAGGAAGCCAATAATCGTTGCCCTTTCGCACCTGCCGATGATTATATCCGCCGAGTTGTGTCCAAGGTGATTGGCGGCCACTAACCACACGTGGCCAAATGGACATTTTAGAAAAAAAAAGAGGCCACAGGGTGGGGTCCTGGCCATTGACTGGCCAGCTGGGCATTTGCATTAAATGTTAATGGCAAAATGCAATTATTTTCGCGCATGCAAGCCACTCAACGACATGGCACGCGTTGCGCATGTTTGTTGACAATTAATGCAGGTTTTTCTTGCCCCGGCTGCACTTTCCACACATATATGCCACCTATTTATACAAATATGCTCAGAGGCATACACTATATATCTGTAGCAGGGCGGTGGCCAGTCTAAAAATGGCCTGTGCGGTTTGTCTGAACCAATTTTGCATTAATTTCCGCAAAACTCTGACAAGCTCCCCCTCTCCGAGATAACCTCCAAGCCGAAAAACTATAAAAACTCAACCTAGGTCGAATGGTCAGAGCCCAGTGGCGGGAAATTCTTGCACAGGTTAGCCCCTCGATGGGTCACAACTTAAATGAACGCATCCGCTGTGGCGACACAACAAAAAATATGAATATATATTTATGTTCATATGTATGTATGTATATTTCAATCATGCAAGTTGCCCTCCCGATGCACTGAACTCTTCTGAAACTGAAATATTCTGTTCTGGCTGTGGCTGCCTCTCCACCATCACCACCATCATCATCATCGTCGCCATCGTCGGGGAGCACCCGACTTGATTATGGGTGTAGTCTCGCGCGGTTGGTCCGGGTGGCACTTTGATGTTGTTTTAGTGGCTTCTTTGGTACTGCCCCCGGCCCCTGCCCTATCTCTGCCAGAGGTTATTATCCCCTGATTAACCGCAATGGCTGTTACTTTTCTTATTTTTTTCATTGTTTGCATCACCAAGTTTGTTGCAATATCTTGAAGATAGCTGTTTAAGCTTCACTAGCCAATCATTACAACTAAATCGGGTTCCATTCCCAAGGCTTTGAATGCCACATTCCACACAATCTCCACCACTTGGCTTTGGAAACTTTCAATTTTGCAAATTCCAGTAGATTAGATACCAAGATAATCTTTTTATTTTCCACTTTCCGCATTCTAAAGAGCGAATATTTAAATCTATAGATTAGATTGCCGAAGCTGGGGCTCTCAATTGTTGTCTACAGACTTCTTGGAATACAATTCCCAGTCAGTTTTTTAATCAAACAACCATTCGAGTGACTCTCCAAAGCCACAAAAAGTGGGGCTGGAGCCCCAAGTTGTCATCCAATTCAGCGCTGGAGTGAAAGCCATAAAAGAGCAAACGAAACGCATAATTCCAGTGTCAGTCCAAGTGGCAAGTATTGATTTTTGTTCGCCTTTTATTTGGCGAAACCCAAAAAATATACTCTCTGGTGTACAATGCACAGCCCTACACTCTAAAAAGTGTCTTTCTTTGGAAATATATTTCCAAAGTAAACCAAAGTTTATTTTTGCGAGTGGACCTGTGAAGAGTTAACACTGTACAGTGGCCCACAGCGCGCGCCATTTGCATTCTTGGCACCATCATCAGCACCATGTTGGCAACACTCGCGTGGCCTTTCAGCCTCATCCCCGCCAGACCCAGCCAGCCAGGCAGACCCTGCCACCAGTTCCGCTTCCCTAGTTGACTTGTAGTTTTGTGTGTTTTTGGCATGTTTCATTGGCAGGCGCGGTGCTGCTGCTTAAAATATTCTGAAAAAGTCGCGCAGCAGGTGGAGTCGCGTTAAGTGAGTTACTACACACCCATTTTTCAATTGCTTTCGTATGGCAATTGCGGCTGTTGTGTTTATTGTTCTGTCGTCTTGGTCTGATAAAAATTCCACCTCCAACCCATCCACCCACCTCAAATAATGGCAACCGGAAAAGGAGCCCGGGAAGGGAATCGGGAGCAGAAAGTTGTCAAAGTGCTGCAGTGGCTGACGCAGTAAACTCGAATTCGAATTTATTTCTGAACTAAGACTGAACTAAAGCGAATTATAGAGGCCCTGTTTGTGGTGGTCTGAAGGTTACAATTGGTCGGACATGCTCTGTCTGAATGCTCGCCCAGCTGTGTCGGCTCGACCTTTTTTTCCTACGGCATGATTTCTATCGAAAATTGTTCATCCTTTTATTTTTTTGGGTTTAGGGTTTAGATGGCCAAAAAATATATCTACTGTTTGCTTTTATTTATAGCAAAAAAGTTGATTGTTTTTCAAAGCTAAACGATTATTAGTTGGGGCTACCCAGAGAAGAGGAGGTCCCCCAAAAATGCCCTAAAAAAATATATTTCTGATTGGATTATAAAATTGTATATTTTATTGCACCTGCCTTCCTGCATCAATTGACGAATTAAGCAAACCAATCAAACAAACAACACTTTTATTAATTATTTTCTCAAAACAATCAAAGGCCAGCTCATAAAAAAGCATTCCTCTACCAATTGGCAACCAAGTGCAGTCTCCTATAAGCGTGTCCATAAATGTTTATTACTCATATGGCAATTTAAACAAATAATCCCACAAACTGGCAAGAATTCCAATAAAAAAAACCGGCTGGCGTCAGAGCGGTGAACAAAACAAACAATACCTACATTGATCATTTAAGCAAAGTCTGACAAAATACTATATATTGATAAAGGTATATAATCGGCTGACGTCACGGATTGCAGTGATTTTTTATCAGTACTTGGGAGAGTAAAAAATAAATATATTATTCAACGCTAAGTATTAGTAACTGTCGACCTGAGAATATCTATTTATACATTTTTCATTCTGGATATGACGCAGGGGCTGTATGTCGTACTTGTAAATTGCTTGACACAAGATATAGAACGGGAGATGAACAATTATAGTATTTACATGGAATATTCCGATGATTCAAATGGTTGATTTCCTCCCAGTTGCAGAGTCTGGAAGCTTGATATTCCTAGTAGCTGTATTAATTTTTTGCACTATCAACCCACACTAGGACACACACTAGGTTTAATTGATAAGCCAACGGACACCTTATCAGCGCAATACCACTTTATTTTATTTTTTTTTTTATGGCAAGAGGGCCAACTTAATCTTTGCACATGGCCAGCATATAAACAAAGAAAAACTCTATATATTTATAAATATTTTAGAAAAATTCTATTTCATTTCACTTTGTATATTTTTTGTATTTTTGTTGTTGTTTTATTTAATTTTTTGGCACTCGAAGAAGCGGGAAGAATGCGAACGAAACACACAAAACGTAAATTTTATTTTATTTTATTTTTTTTTTTAAATTCCGTATTCGCGTATCCGTCACCTCATGTTTGGGGGGTTCTCCGATTCAAACTGAAAGATACTCAGTCGGAAAGATACAAATACCGAAAAATACCAAACTCAGCTAACCGAAGAGCACTCGCGGCAGCCGAGAGAGACACGAACACCACAACAGCTGATGGCCTTTACCCAACAAGTGGCTTTAAGAGAGGGTGCTTTTCTCTTAACAATTCTCTTACTAAAGGGTCGTTGCTTTTTGAATTTCAAGCCTGAACTTTGAGCCATTAATGTACATATAGTTACAGGTAGGTGGATATCATGTTTATCACTAGGGGATTAATTGCAACTTATTGCCATTGTACTCTTGCAACATTAGGTTTCTTTAATGCAAGCTTATATGGCAATATAGTTATTTTAATTTCTTATTATTTTTAATGTTTTTTAAAGCCCATGAGAAACATTGTCCTCAGAGGCAGTCATTATCATTTGTCGGGCTATGTTTTTGCATAAAACACATGAATCCGAAACACGTGAGAGCTAAGTGAAGCCATTTGCATGCAGACGCCATAAACTGCACTGGTTTTCCCACCACCACCCACTTATACCACCCACTCCACTCACTCCCCACTCTGGCTGACTTCGATTAGTTTCCCTTGCCATTGTTTTGGGAGCTGGTTGTGGAGAAATAAAAGCATTGGATGGCAACAGGACGACCAGCAGTAATGGCCAGTGCAATGGCCATTGTTGGTCCCCAGTCCCCGCTCCCTAACAGTCTCGTCCTGTTCGTCCGCAACCTCAAAGCAGACATCGTAAATCAAAGAACAAATTTGCACTTCAAGTGCGCTTTCAATAAGTTTGCTCCTTAGGACACTGTTGTTGTTCCTATTGTTGTCGGAAAATCGTTGTTTATGTTGCTCTTTTTTGCCTTCATAAATCATAATTTAAAGCAGCAAAGTGCAGACTATTCCAAACAACTTAATCAACAGAACAAAGAATATAACAAAACTTTTCTATTAGCATTTTTGTTAAAAAAAGCACGAGCATCCAATGACTAACCAGTCGTACAATCAGTGGGGAGGAAAAAAGCAAATAAATCCAAAAAATATACAATATATCAACGCTCCCAGCTGCTCATCGTCCTAAGGCGTGATTTGCAAAAGCAGTGCCTGAATCTTATCAGCCTTGCGAAGCGAACGGATACAGATACAGATACAAGTTCACCCGCCGAAATATGCAGGCGCAACGAATCGTGGTTGAGGTTGGGGAAAGGGCGGGAAATACCTAACATACTTTCGATAACAGGGAGTACGTCAGCCATGATTCATTCCATATCAATAAAAATATTGCCGAATGGTTAATTGCTGAGATATTCTCCAGAAATTACACAGGAAGGGGCCCACTTCAGAGATAATGGCATAAGTATTTCAGATAACTCGAACTATTTATGCCAGGGACTCACTAGGCTATTGCTAATCTCCTTAAGTAAATTTTAGTTATAGTATAGTTTCTTAGAACTAAAGAGATAACTTTATAGATATATTATTCCAATATTTATATTCCGCTTTGGTAAGTGTGCCTATTAGGAGAGCCATCACTGTTGTTATTGCTGGTAGACGTTTAAAATAATTTAAAGCATACTTTTGGGCAGCAGCATACGGCAAGTGGTGTTAGTTTAGCCATATTCAAGCCAAATATATATGTTTTTCAGTCATTTCACTTGAAATTTATTGCCACTGCAAACAAAGCGAATTTAACACCGAAAAATATAGCTTAACTCAACTTAACCCAAACGCTGAACTCAGCTAATTACCGAAAAATTGAAACCCAAACCCCGAACCCGGGAGTTCGGTAATTTATGCATTGCGGTAAAGGGCACCACTACCCTAGCCCAGGTAGGGAGGAGCCGGGAGAGACCTAGGTGTCAATTGCCACGCCAGGTAGAAATAATGAACTGAAATAGGTCAGAGTGAGGGCTAGGGAAGCCAGCCAGAAGTGCAACCCAAATTATGCGTAATAATCCGCGGCTGAAATTTTGCAGAACAAGCCAAAATTTTGTGGAAAAATGGTAAGTGAGAGAGGGGTGATGCGGTACAGGAGCAGTTTATTGTGCAAAGGATAAGTGGTTTTTTCACAGAGGTTGATATCAGCCACTTAGACCCACTTAAAGTCTTATCAAATAATTAAAACCCATGGGCTTTGGGACACGATAGGCCTAACCTTCTCAACAATTTCTAGATTATTTGCCAGTTTTTCATTCACAAAGTATGGTTATCAGTCGGTGATTCACATTCATTTCTGAATACTTACCTTAGGTTTACTTTTGTTTACAATCTTCCGGTATAGGAACTTGTACATAATGGTGTACCTATAACACTTGATATCTAAATAATAGCCAGCTATCTTTCTGGCCGGCAATCACGTTTATTGACACACAGAAACAATAACAATAAAGAGGTTCCGCAAACAAAAAAATATAACAATTTAACAAAAAAAATCAACAAAATCATCGACTAGCGAGGATCGTAGTAGAATTCCTACACCCGCGAAACGTCACTGATGACTAACGCGAAGCCCGCGGAAAAATATCATAGAAAGGAAATAGAATATACCCAGCATGTGCTCGGAAAACAGGAGCGAACTCAAGAAAAGCAGGTAGGCCAGCTAGGATTGGTGGTTTAGGACCAAATGGACAAACAAACGCGACTTGAGATTAGTAGTTTAAGATTTCAAAGACAGCTGTACATGTGTTTTATTACAATTATTATAATTTTAATAGATTATGAGTAGTACTATCAAGACCCCAAATCCCCTCTAGTTATATGTACAGTTACTTTTTCTCAGGCTACTGTTTTTTTTTTTTTTTTTTGGCAAAGCTCCCACGCCGAAAGCAACGACACAAATGTCAACCTTAAAGTTCAAAGATGAGCTGGGTTAGGATTAGCCACTCCACAATAACGGTATTTATTTTTATTACACATTTCATTAATGATACTTTTGTTTGATTTGTCGTGAGAGAGACTGCTTGGGAATATCAATGAGGAAATGCCAATCACTCAAAAGAACCTGACAAAAGTCATCAAAGACAATGAAATAAATTCTTAACAACAGTGGCCTCCTCTCTGAGCAAATGTGAACAAACTAATTAGTGTCCAGAACAACGGCCAGAGACAATACTATGGTATGGATATGGCGATGGAAACACAAAGAGGTCTCGATGGATGAAGAGGCACCTGCCCAGAGATGACATTTTGCATGGAAAAGGTGAAGGCCTGGCCTGAGGTCTAGCCAATGAAAGGAATGATTCAGCACCTCATTCTTTTATTTAAAAAATATAAGTATTTTGTTTATTTTAGTTTAAGTATCTACTTAATAATAGGATTTATGGATTAAACTGAATGGCTCTTAAGTGAGAAGCATAATTAGTTTTTAGTAATTAGCTAATTAACTTGTTTAATGTGTGTTTCAAGTACAAAGTATAGCTTATAAATTATAATATTTGTTAGAGAACCTCTTGATATCTCGCTGGCATATGAACCTCATTTACATTTCTGACCTTTCTGGTGGTAATAGAGGGCATTAACGGCTCCCAGCTCCAAGCCAAGCCAAGCCAAGCCATTATGTCAACTGTAAAAGCCCTGTTGGAGTCGTCTACTTCTTTTTTTATCTCCCATTCTATGATAACACTGGCCTGGTGCTGGTCACTCACCTGTATTTCGAGTAAAAGTTCCTGCTTCTTGCGGCGCAGCTCAATCAGCAACTTTTGCTGCTCCGGCGTTAGTTCTGAAAGAGCGAAAGAGATAGGGAGAGAAAGCTAGAGAGAGATGAAAAACAATAATAACAATAATTATTGGGGCTGATCTGGAGACTGATCTTCTTTTTCTTCCCCATTTTGGTAATTGGAACACAACAGCAGCAGCACCAGCAGCTCCAACAACAACAACAACATTCCATCATGTAAACACACCCACAGACACACACATACACATAAAACCTGCATAAGATGCATGCGCAGGAACGAGAAGGCAACTGTTTGTGACGTAGCCAGAAGTCTCGCTTAATCAATAAATAATTTACGTTTATTTGTGCTTCTTCGTTTCGTTGCTGTTCTGCTGGCCAAGCACAATGGGAGGCAAATTGACTTATTAGCTCTAATTCGGCACTGTGGATTAAATTAAATTCGATTGAAGGCCAGCAAATGAGAACACACACACACACTCGCACATATGGGCAGAGAAACACCTTTACACACACGAAGGTTGCTTGTTGCTTCGCCAAACTTTTGTTTGGGACTCGCCCATTTTAATTATTCAGCATCAGCTGGTTGCAGTTTAACATTAGTTTAATATTTTGTTTAAACTCGAATCGCTCTGATCCCGTTTTCACATTTTGTTTACCTGGCATGGAGAATTCACTGCGCCCCTTGGAAATGGCTCCATACGATCTGTTGTCGAAATTGTCCATCGCGCTAATCATTGTGGCGGCCACTGTTCACACTCACACTCACGCGGGCACGGCGCACAATCTAGTTACACATTACACGCCAAAAGTTTCCTATTTTACGGGCGCTTTCATTGAACAATCACTAGCGAGATTTTAATAAACAAAAAATTCCAAAAATTCTATCGCCATTTTCCTTCCATAGTGATGGTAGACCTCAACGATAGAAAATTCATCGATGCTTCGATAACATGCGCAGCGCCAACTGTAGTTCAAAGTCGGAAGCACAATGGGGGAAATTATCGATAATCGAGCTATCTGCTTTTAACCTAACTGGCAACTTGAGACAATTGGCGGGATTCTCAAATTGGAAATATCAGAAAAATCTATTAATGCATCTACTGGTTAATAACTGCAGTTTCAGACGAACTATTTTGTAAAAATTGGCAAAACCTCACAACTAGCACCGAAGAAGTAACATTATTTAGTTACTCACACGCAAACGGTTCGTTTGGGAATCCCACATAATTATTTAATTATTTTATTTAAATACTTAATAATAAGATAATTTTGAATATTGTCAACCTTGTGCCTTAAATTTGCATATAAAATTGTTCAATTATATGCAAATATTGCA